ACGGAAGTAACAATAACCAAGAATGCAAGTTGCTGAGCAATATGTGAATCGCAATCCCATTTTATTTTCCTGTAAACTAGGTATACGTGTGAGTAAGCACATTAACATCGAATCTGGCAGACACACATCACATTGTTCACAGTGCTCACATGGTCACATTCGGGGAAGGAATGAGTTTGGGGAAAAAGAGGGGAATTTTTCACTATCTATGTAGTAAGCAAAAGGAAAACATCATGAGGCTCGGTTGAAGCCTGCTGTGAGTATAACCTCTGACGGCATCCCTGAGCTGTGTACAAGGGTCCAGTCCAAGCCTCGTACTGTATATTCCCCAGCTGCCCTTGAAACTAGGTGCAGTCCTGAGACTATTTATTGGCCAATGAGGTGGAAAAAGAAATGTTTAGCATCACTGCCAAAGAGAAGTGTCCTTTAAAAGAGAGGTGTTTTCTTTACCCTTTTCTTCCTTTCAGTTAGTTGAAATGCAGTTGTGATGGCTGGATCTCAAGCAGCCATTTTGGACAATGAGGTGGAGGTCAGGAGTTAAATAGGATAGAGCAATAAGTTAGCTACAAAGACAGAGCCTGAGCTAAGGGCAGACCTTAGGGCTGGAGGAGGCCTCAGAGGCCCCTGCTCTACCCATAGTCACCATAACATCCAGAGGACATCGAGGCCCAGAAAGGCCACATGATGTTCCAGGGGCAGTAACTGAGCTAGGAGATGTTTTGCCAGAGTCCCCACCACCATCACCTCCCCACCCACATGACTCTTTCTCCAGAAACCTCCCTTTCCGGAGGTTGGCTGCTACTCCGTTTTGTGGCCGGGGGCCTAGTCCCTGGGGCTGGGCAAAGGCCCCCAGAATAGGTTAAGTGGCAGTCCTGAGACACACCTCTCAGCATTCCATTTGATGGGAACATAGCAGAGCTTCTGCCCACTTGCTGACCCTGGTGGGTCTGTTCGTCAGTATCTCCTGTTTGGCTTCTTTCTCTCTTTCTCTCTCCATCTTTCTGTCTGCCTGCCTGTCCCAGTCCATCAGTCTCTCTTCCCACCCCTATTATTGTCTGTCTCTCCTGCCCTCTCTCTGTCTGACTCAGTCTGCCTGTCTCCTATCTTTCTGTCTCTCCTTCTAACTCTCTGTCTCATTCTTTTTCTGTTGATCTCTGTGTGTCCTCCTCTCTCTCTCTCTCTCTCTCTCTCTCTCTCTCTCTCTCTCTCTCTCTCTCTCTCTCTTTCTCTCTCTCTCCTGCTCTTTATTTTGTTTCTCTCTGTCTCCCTCTCTCTGAGCCTGGTGTGAAGTTGGTCCCTCCTCCTAAAGGTTTTAGGCAGTTTCTTTTCTTGGGCTGGTTTATGGCTTATTTGGTACTGCCCCTGCCAGCTCCTGCCCCTCCCCCCGCCCCTGCTCTGTCTATCTCTGATGCTATAGGAGGACTGGCGCTGGTCTCAAAACCCCCAGATTCTGCAGGGCCCCCAAGCAGAGGTTTGCGTCCTTGGAGACAGTAGAGCAGCAGGGTGACTGGGCACATGGAAGACAAAAGTCAGTGATGCCATAGAGGCTGGCACTCTGTCCCTCCTGCCACACCAGGAACTTTATCCCTTCCGAGCCCAGGCTGGCCATGGGGGGCTTTCAGGGTGAGCCCAGGGATCATGCATGCAACTCAGCTCTGCTCGGCTGACCCAAGAGTCTCCTGACAGTGCTCTGTGCTGGAGCCTGGAGCAGGCGGCCAGGAGGGGAAGGGCATGCAACCTGTGGGGCTGGGAGCGTGGCGACTGGATCAGAGTTATGAAACAGCCAAAGGAGCCATTTTTTAATTCTTTTCTGCACAGGCAGAAGCTGGGTCAGGTTTTTCCATGGATTCATGCATTCATTCATTCATTCATTCATTCATTCATTCTAGAATGCTTTAATGGTTCCCCAGGCACCTACCCCTTATCCAGCCCTGTCCTGTGCACACAGACATGATCCCTGAAGTATGTTTAGTGGAGTGTATGCAAGTCATCATTTGAGACAAGACAGGAAGGTGCAAAGTGTTGCAGAGGGGGGAGTCGTTAACCCAGTTCCAGAGAAAGAGGCTTTTAGCCTGTCTGCAGGATGAGTAGGGTGACATCAGGTAGGGCTGATTTGGGGCAGAGGAGAAGGCACCAGCAAAAGCAGGGAGGGGAGGTCCAGCTGAGTGCCACGTTGGTTAGGAGTTGGCTTGGGACACCGGCTCTGAGCAGCAGGGCCCCGGTTCGGATCCCACATGAGGGCCAGTGACGCTGCACCCTCTACAGCTAAGATGGTGAACAACAGCTCGACCTGGAGCTGGGCTTCCGTGAGTCACTGGCGACAGCGTAGGCTGCAGTGGGGCTGGCCAGCAGCGGGCATGAGCTTTCGTGAGCTGTCATGAGCAGCCGTCCAATGGGGAGCGAGTGACTGCCTCACCCAGGAAGAGCGAAATAATAATACCAACATGGGCCAGTGAAGCGACATCCTCCACACCTAGACTGAAGAACCAAAGGACGGCAACTTGTCTGTTCCCCTTCCCCGATTCCCCAATGCTGTTCCCCTTCCCCAATTCCCCAATAAAATCTTAAAAAAAAAAAAACAGGAAGGGGAGACAGGGCAGATCTGGTCTGGGGCAAAAATGAGCCTTCCCCAGGATGTTATGCTGAGTGAACTAAGCCTCACAAAAGGAAAAATACTGCGTGATCCCACTTACATGAGATGTCTAAAGAAGTCACATTCATAGGCACAGAAAACAGAACACTAGTTGCCAGGGGCTGGGGGGAAGGGAAACGGGGAGTTGTTTAATGGGTGTAGAGTTTCAGTTTTATAAAACGAGAAGAGTTCTGGAGCTTGGTTGTACAATGTAAATATACTTATGCACAATCAAAAGTGGTTAAGATGGTAAATTTTATGTTGTGCATTTTACCACAATTTTTTTAAAAAAGTAACCATACACACACCAAAATAATGAGCCTGCCCCAGAGACTGAGTGGGGGAGGGGAGACCGGAGTGAGAGGGGTGGGGGGGTCAAATGTAGAGAGCCCTCAAACCATGCTGAGGCCAACCCAGTCACCTCAGATCCGTTGTAGAATGTTGGAGGGAGGGAAAGAAGAGAGGAAGGTGGGAAGAGGGGAGTGTTGAGGGAAGACCAGTTGTGCGCATGGGGCCTGCTCGCAGTACATAGGGCAGAAGGGACTGACTCCCATCTTATCACATCTCGGGGGTCACTTCAAACATGCAAGGAAAGAGAGCTGTTACTACTGAATCACAGAATATCCAAGAGCCAGCAGAGGCAAGCCATGAACTCCAGCCCCAGGCTGGTGGGCAGAGCCCGAGCCCAGCTGTTGAGAGACAGGTTTCCAGGTAGCCTATGCCACCCACCCTGTACCCAAAATAACCAGACTGTGGCCTTTCCCAATATGACTTACAGTTTCAGACTGCCATAGCTGTGGGAAGACACCCACCTGACTCCCAAACTTCGTACAGATGGGGCCACTGACACCCAGAGAGGGGAAGGGATCTGCCAAAGTTCACCTGCAAGTCAGGTGACTAGAACTCTGGTCTTCTAAACCCTCTTTGCCTCAGCTTCTCCATGGGGGACCTGAAGAAACTGAATTTTAATCATTGCAGAGGAAGCCTACCTACCACCAACGCTGGAGTCCTTGGCTGGGCTGGCCAATAGCATCTTTAGACTGGTTACCTTCTACTTTATGAAAATGATGCATGCCAGTCAAGGTGATTGCAAATGAATTCTTTTGAATGAAATCTATGTTATCCATAAATGTGCTCTTTAGACTCAGAGCTGTACTTGTACAGTTTTAGAGTACAAAAGTATCTAATAGAATGAATTTAAATCTCTGGGCCTGTCCCAGGACATGTTTAGTAGGAGAAAGTGTAGATAGAGTTTCTAGGTTCAGATCTTGGCTCTGCTTCTGAGACGCTCTCAGCCTCAGATTTTTCATCTGTAAAATAAGGATAATTATATCTACCTCACAGAGCTGTGCAGAACACCTGGTACCCATAGCTGCTCAAGGAAGAGTATTGTAAACAATGACGATGATATATTGGTTGATGATGAGAATGATGATGATGGAAGTGATGTTGGTGATGGTGGTAATAGTGGTGGTTGTGATGGTGATGATGGTGATGGTGGTGGTGGTGATGGTGGTGGTAGTGGTGGTGATAGTGGTGATGGTGATGGTGGTGATGGTGGTGGTGATGGTGGTGGTGGTGGTGGTGGTGACAGTAAGATGGTGATGGTAGAGATGGTTGTTATTGAGGATTATTCAGAATCTCCCCTCTCCCATTGGGTATCAGCAAGACCCCAGATCAGGGAGAATCAGTTCAAACTTGACTCTGGTGTGAGAAGCTCTGGGGTCTCTGTAAAGTGAAGCTGTGCCCCATATTGTGACTTTTTATTAAGAAGGTAAATTGGTCCCAAAGGAGGTGCTAAGGGCATGCTCCGAGGGAACAGACACTGTCCCTCTTCCATTGAGAACTCGGGAAGGAACAGGCATGTGGAATCAGGCTCTTACCAAAACCAGCTATCCTGATTACCCCACACCCAAGTGCTCCCAACACCGGTATTCCTTGTCCCTGACCCTGCTCTATTTTTTTCTATAGAATTTATTATCTTCTAGCAGACATTATAATTTACCTATTTTTTATGTTTATTTTTGTCTGTCTTCATATTCTTCCCCAACTAGAAGATAAGCTTCAGGAGGGCAGGAATCTTTGTTTGGTTCACTGCTGTATTCCAAATGCCTAAAATAGTGCCTGGCACACAGTAGATGCTCAATAAATATTTATTAAATGAACAAATGCTAAAAGGGAGGGATCAATGGCTGCCTTTTTTCCCTGGGACAGGCCCAGCTTCCTGGCTTGTTACTTGGTTTCTCCTCAAACAAACAGAGAGCATTGGGGTAAGCGTCCAGCGTGTAGACTTTCTGACTGGGCCCAGCCTGGGACTGAGGACAGAAGGAGGCAGTGCTCAGTCTGGGGGGCTGTCCCTGATGTGGCCATGGCTTTCAGGGGCCCCGAATCCTGGGCCTCTGCATTCCTGCCGAGACAGGGGCTGAAGGCCAAGGAGAAGATCCTGGACCTGGAGTTCCAGGTCTTGAGTGTGGGGTTCAACGAGGAGGGCAGATACGCCCTGCTGCTGTCAGCTGAGAACCCCTTGCAGGCCAGCTCTGGGGCTCGAGTACAGTTGCAGGTGAATCATGGGGACCCTCACCCTGCCTGCTCTGCTGTCACTGATGTCATTGGGCAGCAGCATCCTGGCCAGAGCCTCACCCTCACCAGGAACAAGTTTGTCTTTACCTTGCCCAAAGGTATGCAGTAAGGGAGGGATTGGGGGAGAGGAAGACCCCACAACTCCTGTCCCAGCCCCTGTTAGGGCCCCAGGGGAGCCTCAGGGGAACTGGGAGGGGCACGGTCAGAGCTCTATACTGAATCCTGAAGCTATGCCTGAGGGACCTGAGGCAGATGCTGGCCCTCTGTGAGCCCCTGCCTCTTTCAGTGTGACACGGGGACACTAATGCTGGTCACACAGGGTCAGGTGAGGAGGAGGTGAAAGGACTAATGAGAAATGGCTTTGTGAATTTACATGAGCTGAGCATACAGCAGGTTAGGGGCCAGTTCTGGCAGTGGATGGCACACGGAGTAACATTATAGCCAGCACGCTGAGTGCCCAGCCTTGAGTACCGATGGGCTGTGGGTATGCAGGTGGACAGAGAGGAGGAGACCAGGGCCCTGCCTTCAGGAAGTTTCCAGATCGGGTGGAAAGGCAGGGATCCCAAACAGGGAATAGTTAAGTAACCTGGAAGGAGCAGAAGATCCCTGTCCTGACTGTGAGTCCATCCACGCCGGCTTCCTGGAGGAGGAGGGATGTGAGGGAATGGGAAAACTAGGTCCCAAGCCTTCAGAGGGCCAGCAATCAGAGAGGTTAAACTTTCCCCAGGGTGGTGGTAGGACCCAGGGCCATCTCACAGGCTAGGAGGCCTCCCCTCCCCATCCGGCTCCCATGGGCTTGGACTGGCCATCAGTAGAGGAAGGGGCTATGCGCAGGTCCTGAGAGGAGGTCACCCACAGGGAAATCTTAGTTTCAACTCAAAGCCTGGGTACCCAAGTTTCCTGAGGCTGCAGCTTGTCCTCAGGCTGGGAGACCCTGGAGGCATCTCTGAGCCCCATGTTCCCCACCCAGGTTTCTGCAAGAACGAGGGGCAGCATGACGTGCAGCTGCGAGTGGAGGCGCTGAGGCTGGGCAAGGCGTCAGGCCAGGCTGCCTGGTGGGTGGGCGAGGCCATCTTCCCCATCTACCTGCGCCCAGACTAGCCCTGCATGAACCTCTCCGCGAGAGAGCACGAGGACCTGTACCGCTACTGTGGCAACCTGGCTCCGCTCCAGGACAGCACAGTCCCTATTGCCCGCCACTATGGGGGCCTGGCCTACAGGGTGGCCTTCTATGTGCATGGGGACCCTCAGCTGCCTGAGTCCAACTGCCCTCTGGGGGCCAGCCAGTCAGAACCAATGTCACGGAGCCCAGAACCCCAGCTGCCCAGGCTGCAGGTGGGTGTTCCCTGGGTCCAGGTTCAGGATCTGGCATCACTGATGCCCCAGTTAGAAAACCCAGCATCTCTGAGAAACCTGACCGTGTCTGATCCCTCACTCAGCAGAGCAGAAGAGCTCCCCAAGGTTGCCTCCATCAGTTCTGGAGAACCCGCAGTCTGAGGATGGAGGTATGGAGTCCCAGTTTGAAGGGGGAGATAGAAAATGGAGCAAAAGCCACAAAGAGCAATGACACCGCTGGCAGGTGTTTCTCTTGCCCAGTAGGTGAGTGTCCCCAACTCAATCTCATACATTCTCACCATGTTTTGAGGGAGATCCCAAGTGACCCCAAGACAGAAGTCTCTGTGTGCCCACCCTCAAGCCTATCTAGCTCTCACTACGACCATGAGGGACTCAGCCCTGAACCAGGACCCTGGCGGCCTCTGGCCCAGGTGAGGGTCTAATTCTTGTCCAGGCTGTAGGAGGGATCCCCAATGTGCCTGCGTTCTGCAACCATGCATGTGTCTGGGGGGTCTCATTGCCAGTACAGGTAGGGGCAAGTAGCAGCTCATTTTAGAGGTGGAGAAACTTGGGATAATCCCCAAGGATCCTTGATTTCATTTAATGCCACCATATCCTGGAGACCTTAGTGCACAGCTGTTTATGGAATCCAAAGCTAGGCCAGTCTCGGGGCTCAGATGCCACCTGGCTTAAAGACAGTCAGACAGAATGTGGGCATCGTATGGTCCTCTAAAGCACGTGCCAGGAGCGCTCTGGTGGGGGCATGTGCATGTCTGATTTTGGAGTGTAGGGAAGGCTTCTCAAAAGAGATGTCATTTGAGATGAATCTTTATTCATTCGTTCGTTCCCTCACTTATCCATTGATTCATCCATCAAACATGTAAGTGCTGACTCTGTCAGGTCCCATTTAGAATGGCAATTCTGGGCTTTGGGGAGAGTAGTCCTGGAGCAGGGACCAGAATAAGCTGGTTGAGGAGAAGGGAAGGGTTGGCTGGCAGCAGGAGAAAGAAAGAGCTGAGGTTGGAACCAAGTTTCCAGCCAACGGAGGCTGGCTGTCCTGTAGTATCTGTCTCCCAGCAGCACAGCGGCCTGGTGCTGAAGTGGAGCCTGGATAGTGAGCTGAGTGGAGCTGGGAGAGGGAGAGTAGGTGGGAAAAAGCAGAGGGAATCAAGGTACAGTGGCAAACGTGTAAGGTGGATATTCAATTCAGGAGGCGATGGGGGGACCACCAGAGGGGTTTGTGCAGGAGAAAAACAGGACCTGAGCTGTGGTTTAGATAGAGTGGTCTGGCAGCATGTGCCAAGAGAACTGGGAGGATGGATCAGGGACCCAGGAACCAGCTTCCTTTGCCCAGGTCTCAGCCTGTTACATGGACCATTTTAGCCTCTGTTCATTCCTTTAGTCATCAATCAACAAATACTTTTGACGACCTACTCTCTGCCCTGCTCTCTGCTGGGTGCTGAGAGTACAGTGGTGAACAGCTGAGTGAGCTGTATAAGACCTGGATTTCTTCATGCCATTCTGTTCCTTCAGACTGCAAGCTCCCTGAGCCCTGGCACTCTCCTAGCATTTGTCATAGGACTAGATATGCAAGAGGCTCAGAGCTCAGGGAGAAGCAGTCCCCTGCTCTCCAGGTCTCAGCATGCCCTGGCCTGGGGCCATGTGGCCAGTGCTTTGAAGGCTGCAGCTCTGTGTGTGCGAGTGAGGGAAGGGTGGGACTGCGGGGGAGCACGTGGTGGCTGAGCCATCCCAGGCAGCTCTAATTTCTGTTACTTAATGCCATCATTTCCCTGCCATTCTCCCTCTTAAAGTGTCAGATGTCTGCTCCTAGCAAGACAAGAAAATGGTTTTAAGGGAGAGAAAAATTGCTTCCCTCCTGTGGGGGGTGTGGGGGGGTGGTCAGCAATCACAACCATGATAACAGGGCCAGGCAGCTGGTGGGGGGCAGACAATGGAGAGGGAGAGGTCCTTCAGAGGAGAGAGGGGCTGCTGCTTTCCGCTCTGGTGGACTCGTCCAGCTGTTCCGCCTAAGGAAGGCGGGCATCTTTCTGGGACTGGGACTCGCAGACAGCAGCAAGACCAAGACCTGGTTCTCAGTGAGGAGTGCGGGGGCACAGGCTGTCTGTCCTCCAGGCCAGCTCCCTCGGAAAGGGGATGTGGCCCAGAACAGGGACCCTTGAAATCATCCTCCCCTCCTCTTTGTAGATGAAAATGAAGCCCAGGAGGAAAGGACTTAACCCAGCCCTCTTTAGTTCTCAACTGAAGAGGAGAAAAGCAGCTGAAAGGGGGTGGGGGATGGGGGTGAGAAGAAAAGGCAGTGAGCAGAAAGGATGGAGAGGAGAGCAGAGAATTCTTGTGTGGAGCCCATCTTCAGCTATATTCACCTTAAGGCCAGGAATGGACTTCAGGTTCCAGATGCAAATGAATGGGTTCAAGGCCACGTCCTCCACAAAGCCTTCCCTGAACGGGTTTTGTCCCTTCCAAACCATCCTGTCCTATCTGTATCAGACATGTCAACCATTGAATCTATTCAGTTTAGAACAGTACGAAAGCTCACAAGTTGTTCTTCAACTTGTGTGTCATTGTTTTAAACCAGTACTGCTGATGGTCATAAGATGAGAGACGGGGTGAGGGTGGAACAGGGGGGCAGAGGGCAGGGGGATTGAGAATGCAGTGATCCAGAATGAGTAGGGCGCAGGAGGAGGGGCTCGGTGGGAGCTTCAGTCACTAACTTTGAACCTGAGTCACTTCGCTTCTTAGCCACGGCCCACAGGTTACAGAGCCCTAAATGGCCACACCAATGTTGATCATAGCCCTCCCTGAATCCTGCAGACTCCACTGGGACAATCAATTCCCCTGGGCTAACATAGTATGGACAGTGAACACCCTCCCTTCCCCAGTCCCCACGTTTCCTCGCGCGCG